TGGTACAAGCTCGGAATGCTCGAAGAGTGGGCGCTGTTCATGAGCTTTGCCCACGCTGCTACGGATCCTGTGGATTATTTGATGACTTACCAGCCCTGTTCCCATCCATGGCCGCTTTGGCACCCGCTCGCAAGCCCGGCAAGCGCGCGATGTGCACGGGGCGCTCTCCGTCACCAGGTCGACCAGAGCCTGCACGTTCTTTGGGAGGCCCGCCCGCATCGCCAGGAACTCGTCTGGAGTGAGGGGTGCATTGCTGCAGCCCTTGGGCGCCTTCCTGAAGTTGCACCACCGCATGGCGGCCGCACGCACCGCCGGCGTGAGCTCCGATAGGCCGTTGCGGTACTTCCACTCGCAGTCGATGAGCTCCCTCGGAGCATGGGTCGGCTACAACCCTCCCACGCTCAACGGGGTAAAGCCGCCACCCACCGTGGGAGCCCCCGGGCCTAGCTCCGTGATGCTGTGGAGGCCACTCTCCCTGGCGTCCCGCATGGCGCTTGCGTTGGGGAAGAAAGTTCCATCGAACGTGATCACCTTGTCCGGGCCGAAAGCGTAAGTCTCCAACTGGTCCGCATCACCCTTGGTCCGCTCCCGTGCGAGAGGCATGCCTCCTTCTCGAGCAGCCGCCTCGGCTGCTAGCACCTCCGAAGTGTACAGGTGCGAGCAATCCGGCCGCTTGCACGCATGCTGAATGGGCCTGGCCGCCAGGTCGTTGAAGGCCCTCATGGCGGAGTCAAAGACCCTATCATCCAGGCGGGGCGCTCCGGGCCCGTCCAAGCTGGCCGCAGCCATATCGTTTGCGTCGAAGCCCAGGGTGTGAGAGGCACCCAGGGCGGCCGCAAAGTGGTTGCGCAGCAGAAGGCCGTGGGAGATGAGATTGGTGCCGGAGAAGTTAAAGATCCCATCCTCCTGCATGTGGCGCGTACTAGCGTCAGCAAAGTTTCCGCATTAGAATGCACACGAGATGAGCAAAGCCCATGAGGAAGAAGGTGAGCGAAATGACCAATTCGCTCAAGTGTTAGCCATCGTTAGTTCAAAGCAACTGCTCAATATCCAAGACTCTGCCTCTGCTATTGCAACCTGCACCGATGCGCGAGCCCGTGTGCAGCCTCTGCTGCTAGAGTCACCGATCTCGCTGAACTCTGGGCCATTGGAGATGCTATGCGATGCTCCATTACAACTATGCTCCGTCTGCTCCAGGACAGAGACGCGACTGCGTTGTCCACTAGAGCCTTACGTGGGTAGAGTTGTATGTGAACGCTGCTGGGAGCATAATCACTTGAAAGAACTTGGATTTTTGTCATGGAGGGAGGCACGCAAAATCTACAAGGTATCAAACGACGGTCTGAAGACGCTCCAGTGGGCTCAGTCGCCCCATCGTTGGAATCAACGCTATTTCAGAGAGCTTGACGTCAGGTCGCTGGCAATCCAAGAGGCGGGCGGCGTGGCAGCATTTCAAGTCAGACGAGACAAGGTTCGATCGAATGCCCGCGCGCGAAGGCTCGCAAATCTGGTGCGGCACTACGATGACCTGTCAGCCCTCGGAATGGATATCGAAAGACAAGTCTACCTCGCGGGCTTGCGCATCATGGACTGCATCAATCTACAGGTCCCGAATGGAAGCCGCCTGCTTGACGAAGTGATACATGCTGCAGCGAGCACTCAGAATCAATCGGACGACGGAAATCTTTCCAGTCATCTGGACTGGATAGCCCCCCTTTATTCCCTGAAGCGGTACACAGACTTCAAAAAGACTGGGTGGCATGCTTGAACCTGCTCCACATACTTCTGATTTGCCTTGTTCTGAGCAATCAAGTCATCTATCCCTTCATCCCCCATTTCAACACGTTCCCTATAAACATGTTCCTGTAATGCAACGAAGGCCATAAGCCTTCGCTCGAATCTAAGCCTTCGAGCAGCTCTGGCCATTGACAACTTTCCCTGCTTCACCTCGGAAACGGACTCCGTCATCGATATAGGTCCATAGTCATTGGCTTCAACGCAGTCTTGACCGCTCTTATCCATCAATGCACTCATGGCCTCCAATCTTTCCTCATTCTTAATAATTCGAAGAGCTCTGGCCATTGACGACTTTGCCTGCCTTGCTTCTTTAATGGACTCCGTCATTGAGGTACGTTCACCAACGGAAAACATTCATGAGGTTTGAACGCGCCCTCACCTGTCCGTCGTAGGCCAGGCTGCAGCATGCAGCCACTCGACCCGGCAAGATCGCGCAGACCCGCCGATGCATGGTCACGCGGTAGCGTGCCCCCGCCATGGTCAGCATCCCCTCTCGACTCTCCATCACCCACGGCCTCCCGCATGGCGCTGCATCCTCCAACGGCCTTGGCCCGCAGAAGTGCTTTGCAGCATCGCGCTGTGCCACGCCGGTGTCTCCCCATCGCTCGCAGGAGTCGACCACCGCTCGCCCCCCGCGGCTCATTACGGTGTCAATGGCCTTGTGCGAGTGACCCGTGTCCAACGCCGCCGCCGGCAGACAGAGCCACTCCTCGCGGCCGTGCGCGCAAGGGCCCGCAAAATCCAAAAAGCGGCAAGTCGGGTCATTGCACACCGTCAGCCGCTCTCTAGACTCCCGGAGCGCCTCCAACATCCGAATCTTCTCTGTGCGCTGAGAGGCTTCTCGAACCAGCGCAGGCACACCTCGCCTCACGGCGGCGCTCCCAGCCTCGACCACCAGCTGCGGATGTGAGCAGAGGCTCTGCTCATAGCTACCCGCCTTGCACTGGCTGCAGTGAGGCTGCCCACCCAGTCCCAAGCTGCACACTGCGTCGCCATCCGACTCCGTCCCAACGACTGCAAAGACTCTGAGCCGAGCCCCCCGCCATGCCTGGGCATTAAGCCCCTCCAACCTCGGCCCGAGCATGCCATTCCGATCGATCGGAATGATGCCCGCGCCATA